AATGGAGGGGGAGAGGGGAGGATTAAGGAGACAGACACTGGGGAATGAAGGAAGAGAAGGGAGGAGGGAGAGGGTGAGGGAGAGGGGCTGTGGGAGATTCAAAGGGAGGGAGGGAAAGAAAGCAGGAAAGAGAAGGATGCTAAAATGGAGTGAGGCCAGGAAAATAGTTAAATAAAAAGAAGAAACAGAATGTGACAGTGAGGGGTGTTTAAAAGGAGGAGTTAGTAAGAAAATTAAGTACAAGGTGATTTTTAAAAAATGTAGTTGGATATCCCCTGAGGGCTCCCGGACTGTGAAAGGGCACAGGCTTGGCTGAGCTCCCCCATGCACAAATTTTGTGCACCGGGCCTCTAGTATAGGATAATTGACATTATCCTAGTTTCAGGTGTACAATGTAATGATTTCATCTTTGTATATATTGTAAAATGGTCACCACAATAAGTTTAGTTAATATTCATCACCACACATAGTCACAAATTCTTTTCTTGTGATGAGAACTTTTAAGATCTACTGTCATGCCCTGCTGGTGTACTCAGTGGTTAGAGCATCAGCCTGCAGACCAAAGGGTAGCCATTTGGATTCCCAGTTAAAGGCACATACCTGGACTGTGGTTCACCCCCTGGTCTGGTTGGGGTGCATGCAGGAGGCAACCGAGCCATTGATCAATGTGTCTCTCTCACATCAACGTTTCTCTCTCTCCCCTTCCCTCCCTCCCTTCCATTCTCTCTTAAAAAAAAAAATATCAAAGGGAAAAATATCCTCAGGTGAGGATTAACAACAAAAAAAGATCTACTCTATTCGCAATTTTCAAATATACAATACAGTAATTATTAAATATAGTCACCACACTGTATATTACACACCATGACTTATTTGTTAGTTACAATGTGCACAATACTGTATTAAAAATTAACTGAAAGTCTGTACCTTTTTATCACCTTCACCCACACATACCTACAGGAACCACCAATCTGTTATTTATATCTATAAGCTTGGAGGTTTAGGATTTTTTTTAAAGTTTCCACAAGTAAGTGAGATCATATATTTTTAATTTTAGACAAAAAAGATGACTCTAAAATTAACATGTAGTTGGATAGCAGTTTCTCTAGCAATTAATTTAAAAATTATAATAATCTGATACATAGTAGTGATGCATCTTTTCTTTTAAAAAATTACTCAGGGACTATAAAATGTTTAGATATTGGATGGGGGGAGGAAACAATGTGGTGGAAAACCGAGAAACACATTTTTTTCTCCAGAATTTTGAGATTCTAGTGGCGAAGACATAAACCACTAATCAGATTTTCAAATATGATAAATGCTAAGAATAAAGCATTACTTATCTCAAATATGAAGAAATAACCCCCAATTAAACTCTATTTTTGCATACTTTATTTTTTTAAATATATTTTTATGGATTTCAGAGACTAAGGGAGAGGGAGAGATAGAAAAATCAATGATGAGAGAGAATCATTGATTGGTTGCCTCCTATACGCCCCGTACTGGGGATCGAGCCTGCAACCCAGGAATATGCTCTGACCAGGAATCAAACTGTAGGTTCATAGGTTGATGCTCAACTACTGACCCACACTGGTCAGGCTATTTTTGCATATTTTAAAAAACAATTCAAGTTTCACATTACTTTTCATTTTCAATATTTCACTGCTTATTGCTAACTTGGAAAAAATAAATTCAAAGTCAAAGTAAGTTCTGAAGAAACTAAAAACCACAATGCTTAAAAATAATTACAAAAGAGCCTATGAAACTGTAATTAACTGTATTACTAAAGCAACTTGTAGTTTTATAAACTTTATAGGAGCTAACAAGACAAGGTTTTAGAAAAGAACTATAATTTACCTGCCAAAATTAGCTGGCAAGAACTCAAGAAAAGCATCATTCAGATATAACTGAGTTAGGTTTAACAGCTGAGAAAATCCATCGGGAAGCCTATACAAATATACCAGAATTTAAGTTAAATTCACATACACAATTTCAGTCTCTTATTAAAATCTAAGAATCTGTCTAACCAACTCATATTCTTAACAGATAATAGTCACCTCTTTACTTTTACAAGTGATCCTCAAATTGAAATTTGCCTTTTGTAATAACTTACCTGTTTCAATGCTTGTATCTGTATCTCTGTTAAAAGGTAGTGAGACAATATTTGTCTTTTAAGATAAAATCTGCACAAAATTGTCAGCTATGAATAAGCCACAATACACAGAATTTAAGACGTAATTATAACATCTGCAGGAACTCTTAAAATTCTCCTTGGCTAACATCAATCCAAAGGACTAGATAAGGAATTCTAAACCTTGACAGTATTGATGGTTGGGGCTCGATAATTCTTTGTTGTGAGGAAGCTGTCATCTGCACTGTTGGATATTCTGCACTGTTGAATATTTAGCTCTACCCACTAGAAACCAGGAGTGGCACCGCCCAGTACCACAGGCTGTGAAAACCCAAAATGTCTCCAGAATTTACCAAATAAATCTTTAGAGAAAAATCATCCCCATTGGAGAACTACCAGTTTAGATTATTTTCAGTTTCAACATTAAGTCCCAAAATAATCAAATATTCTATAATTTTATAAAAAGCAGAAAAAAGAAATAATATAAAAAGCTCCATGACATTTTAAAGCCCTATAAGAACCTATAAGTATTAGCTTTAACTTGTATTCCCTCTGACTTACAAAAGAAATCACAGATCTAGAACTTGATGCTAGAGCAGTATTTTCAGATGAGGATAAAACAATCTTTACATGTTTGTCCTGGATTTTATCAAGTACAAAACTTTCTTGCAGTAGACTCATCAGTCTTTGACTCATCTTCCTTCTCTCCTAGGTCACATTCCTCCATCTTCCACAGCAAGTAAAGAAATGGTATTTTCAGAAACACTCATTAAGTACATTACTATACTATGTGAAAGCTGGTTTCAACTTTCAACTTAGCAATCCTAGCACATGTTTCATTTCACTCTTCTCGTCTTTTGCTTCACCACTCCATTTTTATAAAATTTAACAGCGTTGGCACCAGTGTTTAGCCATTACCATATATATTACCAAAGAATATATATGACCTCTGGTATATGATTTTTCCATTTTTTGTTGTTTTTCCCTCCTTGACCTTTCAGCTTACTACTTTCAAAAGTCTGAGTGTGCCACACATTTGATTTGCAGGTGAAGACATTCTTATCTTGTGCCAGCAACAATGAGCGAGGAGACCTGAATTCTAGTCGCATTTCGGACATTAACTATCTGTAAAATCTGGAGCAAAACACTTGCATTATCTGTTTGGATGTCAAATTTACCTTTGCAAAATATGGGACTAGAAAGATTATTTAAAAGATTCCATTTTAATCTAAGACAAATTTTTTATAGATTTAAGATTAATACTAAAAGTTCATTTCAATATAGAAAGTAATATCCTATTACTATTTCATAGTTGTATATTCAACTACTATTCATATTTTGATAGTAATTTACAAAAGTAACTTATAATTCAACAGAGAAGAACTTACTTGGAAATAGGGTTTACACTGGCCTCCACAATTGTTAAAACTTTACAATTTTTTATATTTTCTGGAAACTCTTGTATTCCTAAAAAATTAACAAATAATTAATGATCAAATTAAAAGAATCTATACATGAAACCAGTCTAAACAATTTTTAAGTTCCAGGTAAATTCCCATAGCAGAAAGATTTAAGCATGATTTTCAACCTTTATCAACTTATAGCACACATGTACTAATTACTAAAATTCTGTAGCACACACAAAAACAATGTTTCTTGCTGATCTGACAAAAAATAGGTATAATTTTGATTTACTCACACCAGGTGGCTATTGTTGTGTTGACTGTTGTCATTTTTTTATTTGACATCCAAGGGAAAAGAGGTCAGTGCTCTTGACTAGTCAGGTATTGCTCGTTTTAAAAATTCTTGTGGCACACAATTTTAAAATCGCTTATCTAAGCTATTCTTTCTAGTTTCTCTGCCTTATAATTCTTGGCTTTTTATTCAGTGTTCCCATACAGGAAGAATTAATAACTACATAGTGTTCAGTTCTTTTATTTCACCTCCCCACAAGCTTTCTCCATCTACCACTTTGATATGTTTTAATCATCATTCTCATTAGTCTTCTCAAGAAGATAGGCCATTTGAATGCAATAGATAATCGCTTTAACACCAATTGCTATTTGCAAGGGCTTGGGATAGCAGCTTGGCAAACTTTTTATTGCTTTAAAATGGTAACAATAAAGCAAAACTTTATAGAGACAAAAGGGAAAAGCAAATTACTAGTAAGACTCATAAATTAATACTCCAGTTTAATCATAGAATGCAAAAGATAATAAAAATGAATTCCGTAAGAAATGATGATGAATAATATTACCTTGAATTTATATACTTCCTATACACAGACTGGTCCAAAATGTGGTTAGCAGTCTCATGAGGCAGGCAGGGAAATGGTAATATTGATAATATAATATATAGACTGAGAATTAGATTACTTCCCTAATATAATGGAAACAATAAACTGAGAAGCAATGATTAGAGTCCAAGTCTTATTCATAGAAAAGTGTTTTAATCACTAAACCACACTACCTGGCCAGTTGAAAAATACTGGACTATGCAAAAGATTAGAAGCTAAGAAAATCAAAAAGCAAAGATCTTAAAACAATTGCCTTTAAATAAATTCAGCTTGTGGAAACACAGATCAAGTATGCCACAATGTTTCCTGCCTTCTTCCAAGCAGGGCATACAGCTAATGAATATGAAAACAGTATCCAGCATATTGAAATATACTCGAATATTAATTAGATTGAACTGATACGAACAGCTAAAATGAGAAAACACAAGAGCTTAGATATAACATTACAATATCTTATTTAAGATTTAACATGATTAGATGTTATAATACAGAAAAAATTTAGGGGTAATTCAATTTTCTCACTCAGAATGTAAGGTGAAACTCTCATCCACCTCTAAATCAGTGGTCATCTGAATCCTAAAAATTTAAATAATTTCAAAATCTGATGAATAATACTTTCATTTACTAACTTTTTTCTTTTTTACTATGATAATACTTGGAATACAGTAGCACTTGTTATGTGCTGGTTTATTATTTATATTGGGCTATCCTATTCTATCCCTCACTAATTTTGCATAGAGCCCTCCTTGTGTTTACTATTTTTTCATTAGCAATTATTTCTTGACCACCTACTATGTGCCAGTATTCTAGAAGCCGGGAAAACATTGTACCTGAACGATAGTCCGATTCAATAATTCCTCCTATGCTTCTAAACCTTTCTTGATATTGCTAGTTCTAGAATATTCTGGGGTACTACTTCTTGTTGTATATTCTTTTTTTTTTTTAAGTTTAAATCTCTTCTCTTTATTCATTTTTAATTTTTAAAATACTTTAATTGAATTCATTGGGGTTACATTGGTTAATAAAATGATATAGGTTTCAGGGATACAATTCTATAATACATCATCTGCATATTGTATTGTGTGTTCACCACTTGAAGTGTTACGTATTATTCTAATTCCTTGTTTCACTTATCTATTTACCATGCTACAGAGCTTGTGATTATTACAGGGCTCCACAATTAGACTCATTTTCTTTCAAGCTGGGTAGGGACTTTCTATTAATTTATGTACATGAATGCTAATTGATAATCATTCATTTAAATACATGGAGTAGAGACAGAGAATTATTTAGTAAATGTCATCTGAATGAAAAGAAAAATGAGTCCATAATAGCTTCCTTCCACTGTATGCTACAAAGCTCCCTTTGGCTTTTAGGACTATCCTAGGAACCTGCCTCCTAATTCTGTTTTACAGGGAATAAATGCACTTTTAATACAAATAACTAACTTTATTTTTATTTTATATTTTTCCTTCTTATCTCTCCTGAATCATTGATAGTGCCACTCTCACCCAGAAAACTGGCAATAAAAACTCTCTCCTTGACCAACTTTTAGTCAGGCTCCTCTGAGCACTCTTTTTTTTTTAATTCCCATCCCACCAGCTCCTCCCGCTTGGCAACCATCAACTTTTCTCTATATCTATGAGTCTGTTTCTGTTTTGTTTATGCATTTGTTTTGTGTTTTGTTTTTTTTTAAGATTCCACATGTAAGTTAGTTTACATGGTATTTGTCTTTCTGTGTCTGACTTATTTCACTTAGCATATCTTCTAGGTCCATCCATATTGTTGCAAATGGCAAGATTTCATTCTTTTTTATTGCTAAACAAATCTTTAAAGAAAAAGAAGGATATCATAAATGAATTCAATCAAATAATTATATTAAAATTTTAAATTTAAAACACTATAATAGAAAAAATTTAACTGAAAAGTTAAATGATTCATTTTTAAAAGGTTAAAATAATTACTTTAAGTGTAAATTGACCAAGTATCCCATTGAAAAAACGTGGGGTGACTGAACATGCTGCCTACATGATACTCCAGACTGAAAGACACATAAAGACTGAAAGTAAAAGGATGGAAAAAGATGTCATGAAAATGGGAACAACAACAAAAAAAGAAACAAAAAAAAGAAACTGTATAGCAATATTAAATCAGACAAATAGACTTGAAAACAAAGGCTATAACAATAGACAAAGGAGGATCCAGCACTTCTACTTCTAGGTGCTTATCTGAAGAAAACAAAACACTAATTTTAAAAGATATATGCACCCTTATGTTCACTGCAGCATTACTTACAATAGCCAAGATATGGAAGCAACCTAGGTGTTCATCAATAGATGAATGGATAAAGAAGTGGATGTGTGTGTGTACACAACATCTGTACATACACATACACATTCACATACAAAGAAATAATACTCCATCATGAAAAAGAATGAAATCTTGCCATTTGCGACAACAGGGATAGACCTAGAGGGTATAAAGCTAAGTTAAATAAATCAGAGAAAGACAAATTCTGTATTATTTCACTTATATGAGGAATCTAAAAGACTAAAATGAATAAGCAAAACAGACAGACTCATAGATACAGAAAAACTGACAGTTGCTAGAGGGTTGGGTGATGGCAGTATGGGCGTAAAGGTGAAGGGGATTAAGAGGACAAACTTAGAGTTATAACATAAATAAGTCATGGGGATGTAAAGTACAACATAGGGAATACAGTCAATAATATCATAACTTTGTACAGTAACAGACGGATAGTGAGCTTTTTGTGGTGATCACATTGTAAGGTGTGTAAATGTGAAATCTCACTGTTATATACCTGAAACTAATATGATATTGTATGTCAACTATGCTTTAATTGAAAATAACTTCACATTCCAAAATAAAAATTAGACATGAAAAATAAATAAATCATAAAAAGGGTTTTTAAAAAGTATGTTGTTTTCAATCTGTGGCTCGGAATCCCCATATGCAGAGGGCCACTTAACTTATACACACATTTTTGACTGTAAGGTTGGTCGTGGCCCCTAGGCCCCATAACCCCCACATTGTTTAACCGTTTGAGTCCCAAGCAGCGCGATCGCGCTGCTGAGATTTTATGTCGAGAAAACATACGACTCGTTTGAGTCCCAGGGGTATTGAAAAAACACTGTCGAAGAATCCCAAACAGCGCAACCACGCTTTCTCTAAATGAGTACAAAAAGACCCAAACAGCGTGATAGCGCTTGTTTTATTTTATGTCGAGAAATACCAAGCAGCGCGATCGCATGCTTGGGACTCAAACGGTTAAGGGTCAATTGAATTAGCCTTAAAACTAAAATGTATTGGTTATTGACAACTGAAACGCAATAGGGTACTAATCACTGTAACCTGAACCTAAACCTACAATGAATATAAACACATTCTAAATCCTTATAGAGGAAGTGTTAATTTAACCATTTTCCTATGAAATACACAATTTCATTGTTTGATATTAAACAATGAAATAATTAGGATTTAGTAAATGAAGACATGTAATAAATTTATATATTTATTTTAAAGTAACTTTTGCTTTTTAATGGAGATGGGTAGACATAATGATTAATTCATTTGCCAAAATTAACTGTTAATTCTGAAAACAGGAAGACTTTTAATCTCTCCTAAAGTGGTTTTCATAATAAGACCTGAAATTTAGGAAAACTGACATATAGAATAACTGCTGGATATTCAAATCATCAAGACAAAGGGCTCTGAGCTCCAGTTCCGGGCGAGTCTCTAGGGACCCAGACTCATACAGGAGAAGCGGGACTGTCTGGCATCGCTCAGAACCCTAGGGCAGCTTTCTCTCCGTGGGGCTTGCAGCGATTACTGGGACACTGAGAAGCAGAGCCTCTGAGGGCAAGACTGAGAGCAGCCATAATTGCTAACCCCGCCCTGTTGATCCCATGGGACCTGCTCCGCCCAAGCCCTGCAGGGAGACTTTTGCTGGATAGCCTCAGGCAAAGGCTAGATTAGCACCTCCCTAGAGACCCAGGAGCCGGGAAGCCCAGAGGTCAGAGTGGGACCATCCAGTTTGCAGCTCCGTGGAACCATAAAAGACACACTCAGGGGGCAGACTCAGTGAGCACCAAAGCCCCATCGAAGCAAGTCTAGCCCCAGAGGGGTGTCTCCAGCACAGAAGTTCTCCCACTGCAGACACAGCTGATTCTCACAGCCAATTGGCCTGGAGGTCAATTCCTCACAGTGATAACTACAACAATCAAGGCTTAACTACAACAAGACTGTGCACAAAGCCCACAAGGGGGTGCACCAAGAGTGTCTACCTCAGGTAATTGGGACACTTAGTACAGAAAGGCACTCTATCGACACAGCGAAGCATAACAAATGCCGAGACAAAGAAACAGGACACAAACGACAGAATTGGGGGAAAGCAAACTGTTGGATATAGAGTTCAAAATCACACTTTTAAGGTCTTTAAAGAACTGTCTAGAAGCCGCCGATAAATTTAATAAGGCCCTCGAAAAGACTGGTGAGACTGTAGTGAGATCTTCAAGAAGACTGGTGAGACTGCCGATAAATGTAGTGAGATCCTCAAGAAATCTAATGAGACCCTCCATGTTGTGATAAAGGACCAACTAGAAATTAAGCATACACTGACTGAAATAAAGAACATTATACAGACTCCCAACAGCAGACCAGAGGATCGCAAGAATCAAGTCAAAGATTTGAAATACGAAGAAGCAAAAAAACACCCAACCGGAAAAGCAAAATGAAAAAAGAATCCAAAAATACGAAGATAGTGTAAGGAGCCTCTGGGACAGCTTCAAGCGTACCAACATCCGAATTATAGGGGTGCCAGAAGAAGAGAGAGAGCAAGATATTGAAAACCTATTTGAAGAAATAATGACAGAAAACTTCCCCTACCTGGTGAAAGGAATAGACTTCCAAGTCCAGGAAGCACAGAGAACCCCAAACAAAAGGAACCCAAAGAGGACCACACCAAGACACATCATAATTAAAATGCCAAGAGCAAAAGACAAAGAGAGAATCCTAAAAGCAGCAAGAGAAAGAAAATCAGTTACCTACAAGGGAGTACCCATACGACTGTCAGCTGATTTCTCAACAGAAACTTTGCAGGCCAGAAGGGAGTGGCAAGAAATATTCAAAAGTGATGAATACCAAGAACCTACAACCAAAGACTACTTTATACAGCAAAGCTATCTTTCAGAAGTGAAGGCCAGATAAAGAGCTTCACAGATAAGAAAAAGCTAAAGGAGTTCATCACCACCAAACCAGTATTATATGAAATGCTGAAAGGTATCCTTTAAGAAGAGGAAGAAGAAGAAAAAGGTAAAGATACAAATTATGAACAACAAATACACACCTATCAACAAGTGAATCTAAAAATCAAGTGAATAAATAATCTGATGAACAGTATGAACTGGTGATTGTAATAGAATCAGGGACATACAATGGGAATGGACTGACTATTCTTGGGGGGGGGAAGGGGTGTGGGGGTGAGTGAAGAGATTAGACAATAATCGTGCACCTATGGATGAGGACAGTGGGTGGGGAGTGAGGGCGGAGGGTGGGGTGGGAACTGGGTGGAGGGGAGTTATGGTGGGAAAAAAGAGTAACTAATGTAATAATCTGAACAATAAAGATTTAATTAAAAAAAAAAAAAAGAATTACTTAAATACTAGAGGCCCAGTGCATGACATTCGTGCACTGGAGGGAGGAGGGGTCCTTCAACAGGCCTGCACCCTCTCACAGTCCGGGACCCCTCAGGAGATGTCCAGCACTTGGACAACCCCCGAGGGGTCCTTAGCGCTGCTGCAGAGACGGGAGAGGCTCCCGCCACTGCCGCTGCACTAGCCAGCCATGAGCCCAGCTTCTGGCTGAGCTGCACTCCCCCTGTGGGAGTACACTGACCACCAGGGGGCAGCTCCTGTGTTGAGCGTTTGCCCCCTGGTGGTCAGTGCTCATCATAGCAACTGGTTGTTCTGCTGTTCGGTCGATTTGCATATTAGCCTTTTATTATATAGGATGACTGAGTATTAAGTGTTCATTGAAGTCTTCTATCTTTGGGCAGAGCATTTAGAATTTATCCTTGTTACTTTTCCTTTTTTTCATAAATTATAAAATAAATACATGCTCATTCTAAAATTTGCAAGTGTCTACTTTTCTCTCACTCCAAGATAAGCACTTAACATTTTGGAATATATCTTCCACTCTCTTCAATGTATACTAAACTAAAGATGACTATACATCCCAGGAGAACAGTGACCATGTCTTTTTTATATCTCATCATTAATTGCATTTCCAGCTCCTAATAAAGTATTTGGTACAGAGTGGTCTCTCAATAAATTAAATAATTTGTTCATGTTCAATTCATATATAATGTTGCACAATTTTTTTCCTTTACACTAAATCTTTCATGTCAGTAATGATGGAGCTACATGACCTCCATTCTTATGGATATATGAAACTGTGTAATCAACAATAGACACAGTTACTAGTTACTCATCATTACAAACAACAGGGCAATGTATATAAATAAATATATAAACTTAAGGATATATGAATATGTACATACATGTATCCCAGCATTTAAATTAAAAGGACATTTTAATTTTTTTATACTTTTAAAAAAATGTATTTTATTGATTTTAGAGAGGAAGGGAGAGTGAGAGAGAGATAGAAACATCAATGATGAAAAGAATCACTGATTGGCTGCCTCCTGCACACTCGCCAGTGGGAATCAAGCCCACAACCCGGGCATGTGCCTCCTGGTTCATAGGTCAATGTTCAACCACTGTGCCATGCTGGCTGGGCTCATATTTTTTATACTTATTCTCTACTTTGCTTTAAGCTCTCATAGGTCACTTATATAAATTTTATATAAAAGAAAACTAAAGTAATACATTACAATGACTTTTTAATTTTATATTTTTATTTGTTAAAACACAACAGAAATCTTAATATAACATGCTCCCAAGTAAAAAAACCTGGGGGGGGGGGGAATCTGGGGGGGGGGGGGGGGAAAACTTACCATTCTTGCTGACATCCAGTTCCCTGAGATTAATGAGATTTGCAATAGATGCTGGTAATGTTGTTAAATCATTGTCTGGCAAACTCAGTTTGTGTAGAGATTGACAGTTAAAAAGTTGCTATTAAAACAAGGGAAGAAAAGACTTTGATCATTTCTTAAGTTTCCTTAATTTTTCATTTATTAACCTTTATACAAATAAACAGTATTATTAAAAGTGAATCAGTTATACCTACACAAATACCAAGAAAGATATCATTGTTTTATGCTCTTATGAATCTGAACACAATCAACCTACTCAGAATGATTTATATCCTCATACTTCTACGTTGAGCAAATGCACTAAGTGAGAATAAGTACATGGTTGTATTCTCTATAGAGGTAGTAAAAAATAAGTGGCCATAAAATATTGTAAATTTTGGGGCTTATATTTCAAGCACCCTTATTCCAAAATGAAAGTTTACATAAATTAAATTTAAGTAAGTACAATCGACTTAAAATTTATTCAAAATATAGAATTCTGGTATGGGAGGACAAAGTAAGTATGGGAGCAAATATATTGTTATGCTAAAGTCACAGTAATTAAATGTGACCTAAAAATATATTTACCAACAGCAATAGGTAAGTGGGCCACTTCTAAGTCCCATACAAAAAAAAAATCCTGTATGGCGCACAGAAGATTTTTAGGGCAGTGCAAATACTCTGTATGACACCATAATAATGGATAAATGTCATTCATTATACATTTGTCCAAACCCACAAAATGTATAACATTAAGAGTGAAACCTAATGTAAACTATGGACTTTAGGTGATTATGATTTTTCAAAGTAGACTCGTCAATTGTAACAAATGTACCATTTTGGTGGGAGATGTTGATAATGGTGGAGGCATGTGTGAGGATAGAGTAGGTATATGGAAAATCTGTATATCTTCCTGTTAATATTGATGTGACTCTAAAACTTTTATAACAAAGTAAAGTCTTTTAGAAAAACAAACAAAAAAAAACTGTTGTCAGAATGGCATTATGAATAAACCCTATTTAAGGAGGGCATGCTTTCAAAAATGAAAAATGGTTAGGTTTAAGTTATTCAGCTATTTGCACTATCATAACAAGTTTCTCTCTTTTCAACAATCCCTAGATTGATACCCCACTGGTGGTGAAGAAAGAAATAAACTAATCTTAGTCTTCCACATTCTCTAGGAGAACTAGCTAAGAAAGATAATTATTTGCTGGAGAACAACATGGAAAAAGTACATTACACAGCACTTGATCACAACATAGGGAAATAATTGATAAACATGCAACCCACAACCTTTTTTAAAAAAAAAATGTTTTATTGATTTCAGAGAGGAAGGTAGAGGGAGAGAGAGAAACATCAATGATGAGAGAAAATAATCGATCAGCTAACTCCTGCACACCCCACACTGGGGATTGAGCCGGCAACCCTGCCATGTGCCCTGACCGGAACCCAACTGCCTGGTTCATGGGTTGACGCTCAACCACTGAGCCACACCAGCTGGGCAAACCACAACCTTTAATATTTTATCCATAGCCATATGTGGATTTCTTTATAAGACAACCTAGAACAGCACTGGATTTTAAAATGTTGTTTACTAACGGCCACTGAAATACAACCCTTTTTCAAAACTGCCATCTAGCACGTATTCACACAGACACACAAATCTACAACAAATTTTTCATGTAACAATGGATATATATATAACACACTCTATTTTCTATTCCATTAAAGTTAGCATTGCAGAATGCCTGATTAAATTAGGATTTCAGGTAAACAATAACTTTTTAGTAAAAGTATGTCCTATATATTGCATAAGACACACTTATACTGAAAAATTATTTATTATTTATCTGAAAATTGTTTAACTGGGTGTGCTATATTTTTATTTTCTAAATTTGCCAGTCAAAATCATAGCTTATTATTTGGAAAGGCACACGTATTAAATTGACTTTTAAGCCATTCATGTGTCTACCCACAGTTAGAAAAATACTGCTGTTTGGGTGGTAAATGGTTCTAACAATTAAATTAAAGCTACTGCACCTTTTCCATTTAAAAAAGAAGTAGAAATTGAGTAGAGAATAAAGAGGGATTAAGATTTAAGGGAAAAAGTAGTCACAAAAAATTTTAATCAAGTAGATAAGATGAGATGTTTCATGGCAGCAATCCAACTTTCTCCTTCTAGTTGTTTCTACATTTCAGAAATATTAAGTCCTCCAAAACCTTTCCAAACAAACCGAAATGAGGTAAACGGAATGCTACCTCTAAGAAGCTGTTTAACAACTAAATTAAAATGTACTAAACAAAAAACGCCAATTTATCCCCAATGATAATAATGTAGGATCAACGTTTTATAAAACTAGAAAAGGAAAATTAATTTCAATTCTTTGTCTAATTAAATCTACTGGCTGCAGAAATTGTGTAGTCTTATTATCTACCTTAGTGGCTATAACAAAACTGGAATTAAATACAAAATGTTAAGTTATTTACACAACTACTCAAGCAGTTAACATGAAGAGACAGAGGTTAAAAATTCTATTTTAGCCCTAACTGGTTTGGCTCAGTGGGTAGAGCGTCGGCCTGCGGACTGAAAGGTCCCAGGTTCGATTCCGGTCAAGGGCATGTACCTTGGTTGCGGTCACATCCCCAGTTGTGGGTGTGCAGGAGGCAGCTGATCGATGTTTCTCTCTCATCGATGTTTCTGACTCTCTATCCCTCTCCCCTTCCTCTCTGTAAAAATCAATAAAATATATTTAAAAAAAAAATTCTATTTTAAAAATAGTTGAGCCTGGCTGGACTGGCTCAGTTGGTTGAGTATCATCCGGTGCATCAAAAGGTTGCTGGTTCGATTCCTGGTCAGGGCACATATCTAGGTTGCAGGTTTGATCCCTAGTTGGGGAGCATATGGAAGGCAAGTGATCAGTGTTTCTCTCTCACATACATACATCTGTCTGTCGGTCTGTCCATCCACCCATCCATCCATCCATCCATCCATCATCTAGCTACCTATCTACCTCTCCCTTCCTCTCTCTAAGTATGTCCTTGGCTGAGGAATATATATATATATATATATATATATATATATATATGGTGCGGCATACCCTAAGATAAAATTAAACCAAAAAAAGTGGAAACAGTGCACACAAATACAGGGTGTCCCAAAAAAAACCGTATACATACTTCAACAGCTGAGAGCTCAATTTTGAAAATGAAATGTATTTTAATAAACACTGCCTTTATAATTATTGTGTGCATATATTTTTAGGCGATACCTTATACATCTGCAGCATTAAGGCAACATTGGGAATATCATATTTCTAGGTATAAAAATAACAAGGCAATTCTTTAAAGACAGTATTAACATACCTTTGGAAGCTCTTCAATCTGATTAGCATCTAAATAGAGCTCCTCCAAAGTTTTTTCAAAAGTAAAAATCTCTTTGGGAACCTGTTCCAAACTGCAATGAGAATAATCAAGAGTAGTGACAGTCTCCTCTTCCCCTCGTAAGCATCGGCAGGGTACCAACCGCACAAACAAACTTCGTTTTGTAGTCATTTTTAGACACTGCAATATTCAAACAATAAATTTAGTTAAAACATACATATTAACAAAATAAATAAAAGGAAAAAACATACATATTAAAACAATTTTTCAAAACAAATTATGCATTTATCACAATTTATATATCACAGATAAATACCTCACCTACACGCAATGAAGTGCATTTAACATTGCCGTACTATAAAATTTATATATATTACATTCCAAATTAAATTCAAGCACTTCTGGCCCTGGCCACATAGCTCAATTGGTTGCAGCGGTTCTCAACCTGTGAGTCACGAACAATGAAAATACATCCTGCATATCAGATATTTACATTACGATTCATAACAGTAGCAAAATTACAGTTATGAAGTAGCAACGAAAATAATTTTATGGTTGGGGGTAACCACAACATGAAGAATTGTATTAAAGGGTCGCGGCACTGGGTTAAAGCATCATCCCAATATTCCAAGGTTTCAGGTTCGATGTCTGGTCAAGGCACATACGAAGCAACCAATGAATGCATAAATAAGTGGAACAACAAACCCATGTCTGTCTGTCTGTCTCTCTTTCTCCCTCTCTCCACTCCCCATTTCTTTCTCTCTCTCTTAAAAAAAATACACAATAAAACTAAGTTTTAACAGTTTCATTGGGTCTTTGTTTCTATATGAAGGCTCACATGTCATTTAAAACTTATCTATAATAATAAAAGCAAAATATGCTAATTAGACTGGAGGGTCGAACAGCAGAACAACCATCCGGACTACCTTCTGGACGAAGCCGAGGCTGGGAGGGCCGAGGCAGCTGGGGCTGCGAGGGCCAAGCCCCTTGTACCAATTTCATGCATCGGGCCTCTAGTATTAAATAAACGTGTATGCTTTTCTCCTGTTAATCTGTCTTTGTTAGTTTAATTTTCAGATGCAGCCAGGGACCCAGAGACCGTTAAGGAAAATTTTTTCTTCCCTTACACTATGATATCAAACATCAAATGTTTCTATAAAATCTTTGTCTCATGGGGATCATGACTATAATTAATAATACTGTACTGCATATTTAAAAGTTGCTAAGAGAATAGATCTTAAAAGTTCTCACTGCAAGAAAAAGAATTTGTAACTATGTGTGATGATGGATGTTAACTTTATTGTGGTGATCATTTGGCAATATATACAAAATATCAAATCATTCACGGTGTACACCTAAAATTAATATAATGTCAATCATACTGAATAAAAACAGTAATAAAAATCTTGTCAACAAATATTCAGTAAAGTTTACTGAATGCTTATTAACAATACATGTTTATATGAAGAGGGTTACTGATAAGAATACGCAATTTTATTGATCTAGTAAAAATTTAATTGCGAAAGGTGAATATAGTTTGTACTTATGTGTTTGTAAGATTAAAAAGATTCCAAAAAATAAAAACAAAATGTTTTGTTCAAGAGATGCTAAGACTAACTGATAATGAATCAGGGGGTAAAAACAATGGAAAAGCATCTCATCTCTGCCCAATATGGTAACCACTAGACCATGTGGCATTTTAATCTTAAAATTCAAGTTAAACCAAATACAATTTAAAATCTAGTTTCTTGGTTGCACTAAGCACATTTTAAATGCTCAGTAGCCACATGTGGCTATGGCTATTATACGGAATAAGAGAAGATACAGAACATTTCTATCACTGAAGTTCTATGGAACAACTACGGTGAGATGTCTCTATTATTCTGGTTCATCATATTATAACTACTTTGCTTATATTTACATAATATGATAGTAGCCAAGAACTTGAAAGATATGGCCTAAAAGTCCATTTTCCAGAAATCATAACAGATTTGTGAGTATAATTTCTGAGAATAAAGGACATGGAATGTTATTAAATATATGTGATTTTAAAAAGTTGTTTTAGATATTATCTGTGTAGGTCACTTGAGATATATGGCAATTTATAGGGCAGAGTAATTGTTTTTTTTATTGCATTTATTGGGGTGACACTGGTTAACAAAATTATGCAGGTTTCAGGTGTATAAGTCTACAATACATCATCTGTACACTGTATTGTGTGTTCACCACCCCAACTCAAGTCTCAGTCTACCACTATTTGTTCCCCCTCAAAGTAATAGTTAACGAAGGTAAAACAACTTCCAAGATTTTTCTATATTGGAAATCATGAATAGATCATGTCGCAGACAGATGTTCAGAAACTGCAGAGGTCAGAAGAGACAATTAAGTCAGAAAAGGAATTAGATGCATAGCTCTAGGAAGCTACAAAAAGAGTTTATATCTCAAATGAAAACTTTCTGTGAACAGAGGCTATGAAGAGAACAGTTTAGACTTCAGATTAAATACAGTGGGCCTTGAGCCAATACAAAAATGGACCCAATTCAGCAGACTAAACACTGCTGATTGAAAATGAAGGAACTTCAATTATTGAGGGGAGAGGAGGAAATAAGTGAGTGACAACACCCAAAGAGATCCTCCCTTACACAATATTGTAAGAAAGCAAACCAAAGGGAGAAAGCCTCACTTAGTCTGAACAGGAAGAGATCAACATGGAGACTACTAATTAGAATTTTAGTGTTGTGACAAGCAAGAGTCACTTCATAAATCAGACAACACGGTAGATGAAAAAAATTTTCTAATCAAATGGAGAAAGAGGAGTGAGCCAAGAAAAAAAGGCATAATAATCAGCCAAACACTTCCTTTTTCTCCCCCCAAAATACTTTGTAACAATAAAAATTAAAGCCACTTACCACTTGGCTGAATTTATCTCCCTGCTGTTTCTTAACTGAGCCAACATTCTATGAAAACAAACAAAATTAACACAAAAATTAGATTTTTATGACTCTAAGGAACATCTCTTCTAATTTCTTATTTACCTCAAAATGTAAATTAAAATTCTCAAAAATTCACCAGTGTAAACTGATACATGCAAACTTGCTAACTTCTAAATAAATGGCTAACTTCTCAGTCAGTCATTGGATTATTCTTAATTCATTTGTATGCTATCTAGAGCCCTGCTCTATATCAAATAACAAATATCTCTCAATCTACCATTAAAATCCCATTTATCTGAACTTACTGAGAAATGATCAAGTTTTTACAAGCAAATAAATGCTAATCACCAATTATATAGAAATTGAGTAGTTTTTGATAGTTTTATGTGGCAGAAGCTATTAATTGCTTATCAGATTCTATTTCTCCTTTCCAGAATTTTTCCTCTCTCAGGCTGGTAATGGACTCCACTAAATACCCACTTTTAAGCTTTCTAAGGCTGGAAAGGCAATGAATGGATAACAGTTAAAACCAATGACATATACTCAGAAATCTGCTTTGGGGGTGGAATGAGGAGGGTTGATTCTAAAAAAAATTTTTTAATGTGCTGTCCATATCCAGGACTAGATGTGAATGTAATGTCTACTACTCAACAATCATCCTAGAACAGCTGTGGGCAAACTACAGCCCCGCGGGCCGGATCCGGCCCGTTTGAAATGAATAAAACTAAAAAAAAAAAAGACTGTACCCTTTTATGTAATGATGTTTACTTTGAATTTATATTAGTTCACACAAACACTCCATCCATCCTTTTGTTCCGGCCCTCCGGTCCAGTTTAAGAACCCATTGTGGCCCTCGAGTCAAAAAGTTTGCCCACCCCTGTCCTAGAACCATAAAAGTCAGCAAGCAAGAGAATTAACACCAAATCAATAAGGCTGACAGTGTAGAAGCACAAAACCAGCTGTGGGGTCTCTAATAGCATTGCTGTTAAAATTAGCTGAAGCAATGCTAACTACTATCTAATTCTGGATTTCTTAGTTTGTAAGATAACTAAATTTTTATTTGCTTAAACCATTGCTAAATTTTCTATACCTGTAACCAACATATATTCCAAAGTGAGATAACCTGAAACCCAAAACAATCCCATTAATAAAAAGCATATACATCATAGTCTCTTTCTTAAAAATTCAGTGATATTAATAAATGTGTTTTGAAGTTTTACAGAATCACTGTAATGTAACAGGCTATTTGTCTCTATGCTAAGTAGTTTAGGACTACTGAGTTGTTTAATCTTCTCCACAAATTCTACATATAGTACATGCCACAAACAATACCTTTGTATGTAGCAAGCAAAGGATGGCCACTAAATTTGTCATTCTACAGCCCTAACCGGTTTGGCTCAGTGGATAGAGCATCAGCCTTCGGACTCAAGGGTCCCAGGTTCGATTCCGGGCATATACCTTGGCTGCGGGCACATCCCCAGTAGGGGGTGTGCAGGAGGCAGCTGATTGATGTTTCTCTCTCATCGATGTTTCTAACTCTCTATCCCTCTCCCTTCCTCTCTGTAAAAAATCAATAAAATATATTTTTTAAAAATTTGTCATTCTACATATTCCCACATATGTGATAGCCTGGT